TAACCTGACCCCACAAGTTCCTTTCTTGGGTGTGGAAGTAGCTGAATGAATGACACAACCGTGTCCAAGGATATAGAAGACTATCTTCACCTTATTCTTCTCTTAGTCTCTCCCTCCTTTCCAAAATCTGTTAAAATATTAGCCACACTATAAGATTGTAAAACGCCTACTGAATATCAACAGCGACACAACTCAGCACACTACGAAATACTGTAGTAAAGCTTATTTGGTCTACTAGGAATGCGTAATTTTTCATTAAAGTTTTAATTTTTGAGATCCTTGTAGATTCATATCCAATTATAAAATATAACACAGAAAGTTCCCACATACTCCTTTACCCATTTTCCCCCAATGGAAATATCTCACAAAACTATATCACAGTATTACACTCAGAATGCTGATATTGAGAGTCAAGATATAGAATATTCCACCACAAGTATCCCTCATGTTGTAAAGCCTAATTTCTAAAAGCAAAAGAATTTAAACATTTTTAAAATTTTTGAGAGAGAATCCAATGAGGCAAAACCATAAAAAAATGTAAAAGCAGTTTGAAAGATTATTTTCACTTAAAAATTAAAAATTCTAAGACCCTGAAAGTTATTGTGATCCACACAAGAGATTAAGGGGAAGTAGATCGTAAAAACTGATCCCCAAACAGAATTATTGTAAGGAATTATATCCATTATTATACCCAAAGAACTAAACTCCAAAGAAGACAAAGAAGATGTGTGTGCACTTTACTCTGCCACACATTTATGAGCCCCACAATGGTCGGCTGGGTCTGAAGTCCCCTTAAAGTTCAAAAGCACAACTAAAAGTGAAGCAATTGATTTCTACAGCAAATCAGCACACTGTGTCTAAAACAAATGTAAAAACAAAAGGAAAGAGAGATTCTTGCTTCAACGCTTCTACAAGTAGAAGGATCACAAATCAACTAAGCTTTACCCTAAAAAAGAAAAATTACAATTGAATAGAGCCTATCAGAAACTGCTCCCCAACTCAGGTATGTAGGCATATTGAAAGACACAAATGTCTCTAAAAATTTTTCTCTTGAATTAAGAATTTATTATGACTTATTTGCTGAAAGGAAAGGGCTAAATATGATGAATAACATTTACCTCTATACCAAATCAACACTGCCCACGACATACAAGGACCATCGCCACTTACCATGCTGACCTGATGTGCCCAGCTGCCCTGCAAAAATGATTGAGGAGTTGTCTCAGCTAAGCTTTATCACAGGGCCGGAAATGACTCCACCTGAGAACCAAATGCATTCTCCACTTAAAGCAGTACAACCTCTTTTTACTTGTTCATGTCTCTGGTCTCAGTGTCTTGTGTAGGACCTGAATACACTGTGATAAAGTTTGAGGATAACTACAGTTGAATTAATGAGCACTTATCCAAATCTGCTTCCAACTTATATCTAAGTTGAAAATAAGAAAGGTTTAAAAAAAAAAAAAAAAACTCCTCTTCTATTAAGCTTATGTGCGTTCTCTCTCAAGAAGGAAATAAACTTAAAGAAAGCAACAACAAAAAAAGGGGCTAAGTGATAATGTAACTGTACCCACATGGGAAAGGTCCCAGGTTCACATCCCAGGACCTCTCTGAGAACAACAGGCATAGGCACATACCTGTTCAAAAACAAAATTCTAGACAAACCAAAATTTAACAGAGTTTATTTAAACAAAGGGGAGGCCATTGGAATCAAGATGTTTCTTGGAAACTTAGGGAATGTAAGTTTGCACAAAGGGAAAGTGACATGTGTAGGAAAGGAGAATTAACATGTGCAGGAAACGGAAAGTGATGTACAAAATTGAAAGTGAGGGATTGAGGTAGAGAATGCATTGGATTGGTTACAGCTGAATAGTAGGCTCCACCAACAGCCTAGAAGGTGGGTTTTCTGTGATTGACTGAAGTGTAGCTAGTGTGATTGGCTGTAACTTAGCAACCAGCTCAGGAAAGCCAGCCCAATGTCTAATTTTGATTTATCCATAAGAATCCAAGTGTGGGAATACTGTGGCCATTTTAGAACAGAAGAGTTTAGTTTAACAATTTCTTCGTTTTTGGTCAGCCTCTCAATTTGAGAGATTGACTAAAATTTAGGGCATTGGTGCCACTCTCTGTCACCATCATAAATGACATTTTCCTGCTCTCAGCTTAGAAATCACAAGTTTCCTCTGGTCTCCAGCATGGAATTCACAAGTCACAGTATTACACAAGTCAAACGTAATGTCACACCAGTCAAACTATTCCTCCTTTATGTTTTTACTGATCCGGCTGAAACAAGATTATTCATTAGTCAGTGGATGGCTGCATACAACTCATTTAAGATTTGAGAGGATAGAGTGCACCAAGAGGACTAATGTGATGATTAAAGTGTACTCCTTAGGACCAGCAGATGGCGTAATGTTTATGTTGCCGGACTCCTACGTAGTCAACTGCAATTTGAGTCCTAGACCCTGCACCTTAAAATTCATGTCGGGCGCACGTGCATGTGTGCCCAAAATCCTGAGAGGAGATTGGGTAAGAAGAGATTGTGGTTGCCCATCCTGGAGGGTGATTTCTCCCTTTCTTTCTCTGTGTGTGTGTCTCTCTGACAAGTACACACACCCTACAGCAAAACTCTCTCTTAAAAAAAATTTTTTTAAGTGTATTCCTATGAAACAAACCAAACTGAATTAAACAGGTTAAGGTTCAGGCAACATAGGCAATTCAACAGTGTTTGAGTCTAGTTTTTCATCATCATTGTCTGGAGTGTGATGATGATTAAGGACCATAGTTCTCTATAAAATGGCCTGATTTAAAGAGGTATTCACCTTTGTTGTTAGTCTAGTAACATAAGTCATAATAACCCAAGCCTGCCATCCACCATTTAGAATGCCTGCAAATTAATAATTAGTTGCACCTGTGAACACATCATCTGTTCCTTTCTCTTGAGAGACTTCCCTAATATGTCTGGTGACCAAGTCCAAGGAAGCAGCAATATCAGCTACCTTTTTAATTAAAATTTCTGTGGTAGCAAAGTCAGGAGAGAGGTACAACATTCAGTTTTGTTTGGCACTAAATATAAGCCCCTAACTTGAAAAAAAAGAGATCTAAAGCTGGCTGATATTTCATTAAGCATTTTGTTAAACTTGAACGTTAATTATTTACCTTTTGGAGGGTGGCTTTTACCCACCTGAAAACCTAGAAGTTCTTATTGGCTACAAATTTTGAAAATTCTCTCTAGTTTATGGATCAGGTTTAAATACAACCAGTATCCTATTACTGTCAAAAGTGAATCTCTAAGAACTTTACTGAACTCTATTATCACTGTAAACTAGACTTTTTTTCTTGGAAAAATATCAAAAATAGCTTTTTACTCTTCCTTTAAGGTTTTAGGGCAACTCTCATTTGAAACAGAGAGAATTGGCATCAGTGGAATTGTTTCCTGATCTTTTCTGCATTGGCCCATAAACCTAACATTTGTTCTGGCTTTGTGCTAGGACATAAGTTCAAATTAAAGTCAACCACTGATTATGGTCCCATGGATTTTCCTGTAAGGAAGAGGCAAGAATTAAGATAATAGGAATTGAGAAAAAGAAACAACATTAAGTTTTCATTATGGCAGAGAAGTCTTGTGTTTTGTTGTTTGTTGGTTGGGTTTTTTCTTTTTTCTTTTGTTTTGCTTTGTTCTTGGCTTTTCTGGCAGAGAAGTCTCAATCCATGATATTGGACAAAGCTGTCCATGCCCAAGATGTCTGTTCTGAAGAAGAAATTTTCCTAGTGAGTTTTATCTTAAAGTTCCCAACAGGTACACAGTTTTTAAAAATCTAAAGTAGCCCTCCTGAGTTGTGAATGCACAGTTCAAGGACTTGAAGCTTTACTACAGTATGAGTGATGAAGAGTATTTGGTATGACATCTTCCAACAGGGCTCATGGGCAATACTTCTCTGGCGTCATTTCTAGAAGACCCTGACCCTGGATCATGAACAACCGATTTGATTGTCATCAGTTTACTACAAACAGCACCCTTTATGTGGCGAAAATACACTTTGGCATAATGCATTAAAGCCTGGCACTTTAGCCCTCAGATTTCTCCAGAAATGTCTTATGAGAGAAAACACATTTTCTAATAACCTTTTAACTGCTGTTACAGCATTACCTTCCTTCATGGGAAAGTTCCTACACAACTCAAAATATGTAATGAAAAGGCAATGAGTGAAATCCCTTTATAATATTTATATGACATATTAGATAGTAGTAATGTACCTGCAATTTTTACTCTTTAAAATGTCAAGTTGACCGACTAAACATTGTAAGAATTTTTGGAGAAGATTTTTTGTTATATGGCACGCTCGCCAGAAAGACACAGAGAGAGAAAAAGTGAGAAATCACCCCACAGGGAGGATAACCACGCCACAATCCCTTCTCCTCCATTCTCCTCTAGGGATCTTGGGCACGCACGCAAGCAACACATGCCTGGTGTGAGTTTAAGCTACCAGGTCCAGGACTTGAACCACAGTCGACCATATGGGAGTCCAGTGACATAGCCATTATGCCATCTGCTGGTCCCTATCCATATTTTTAATCTGGATCATTTTATCTGATCTGTGAGTCACTGGGTGTAGACGTTTTGTTTATTTTGTTTATTTTTTTTTAATTTACACTTAATCACTATATATCTTTACAGTGTACAACACTGTTTTTTCCAGCATGAATAAGGTGCATGTCAGTCAATACAAAGACATTAGAAGTGTAGAGGTTTTGAATAACAAGAGCTGTAAGGAGGACTCAGGAAGAACTAGGCAGCCCTCCACAGGCTCTCCATGGGTCCATACTTAACACTGGATTTACATCCTTTTGTTTCAATTTTACCTCTTTAAATGTATAGCATTGCTTATTAAATAGATTGTCATAGGTTGTTTAACTTAGATCAATCTTACGGAAATTATTTCAATTACAGACCTTAACAAGTTACATTTGATCTTTGGGACCAGCAGTTAGCATAATGGCTATGTTGCTGGACTCCCATGTAGTCGACCGCGGTTCGCGTCCCAGACCTGGTGGCTTAAAACTCACACCGGGCACGTGTGCATGGTGAGTGCCCAAGATCCTGAGAGGAAAATGAAGGAGAAGGGATTGCGGCGTGGCCATCCCCATGGGGGGGGTGTGTGTGTGTGTGATTTCTCGCTTTCTGTCTCTCTGTCTGTCTGGCGAGCACACACCTCTAAAAAAACAAACAAACAAACAAACAAACAAAAAAAGTTACATTTGATCTTAGACAGTGGGCCAGGAAGTGATACAAAGGTTAACAATTTTGGTATTGACTGATTTAGCATGCAATTCTGTTAAAACATTTCCTTGCTTTTGGTTAATTCTGGTTCTGCCTAATGATTGGCTTAGCAATTTTGAAAAACAATCAGTTTATCCATAGAAACTGGAATTTTTCTTTTTCCCATTTA